GTTACTGCAATAAAAAAAAAAACAGAGGATTTCCTACAAAGTACAATAGGACATCTGAGAAGTCCATGCAGCCATACATCTGAAGGTGGGGGTACTGGATCCGTGGGAAGCAGTGGAAGGAGGTGAGCACAACCCCACCCCCTCCCCAGCAGCAGGGATCTAGGTCACAGGTCCTCACACAGCAGCCAGTGCACAACTGTAAGAGGAGGCAGGGGAGCAGACAGGTCTGTGCATAAATACTTATGCTTTCACTTTCAGAATTGCAGCCTGACCCACAGAAATGCTCCACACCAAGTGGTGCACTTCAGCCACTGCATGGGCGCCCCCACCAAGTGCAGCAGCCCAGGCCAACCACCCATGAGTGCAAAGTGGGCCCATGCACACAAAAGCATCCCTCCCCTCCCGCTTAGTGCAGCAGCTTGGCCAGTCCCCAGCCAAGGCAGCAGTTCTGCACGAGAGCACCTACGTGTGCATGTGTGACCCACCAAGTGCCTGCAGCCCCAGCAGGAAAACACAGACAAGCTCTATAGGTACAACTTCCAGCAGATGTGGCAGGTTCAGAAAACACAGTTCCTGCCCCACCGCCAGAGGTGGCAAGTGGAATCTGCAACCTGATACTACCACTATGCACTGGCAAAGGATCACTTCAGCAAACACCTGATACTACCACTATGCACTGGCAAGGGATCACTTCAGCAAACACCATGAAGAACTACATTAACACTTCAGAGCAGAAGGAAAATGACAAGTCTCCAGAAACCAATCCTGAAGTCACAGAAATTTACAATCTAAATGACAGGGAATTCAAAATAGTTGTCATAAAGAAACTCAATTGAGTTACAAGAAAACTCAGAAAGACAGTTCAATGAACTCAGGAATAAAATTAATGAGCTGAAGGAATACTGCACCAAAGAGATTGAAGCTCTAGAAAAAAACTGAACAGAAATTCTGGAGATGAAGAAAACAATGACTGAGATAAAAAACAATCTAGAAACCTTAAAAAAACAGAGCTGACGTTATGGAGGACAGAATTAGTAATTTAGAGGACAGAAATATAGAAATGCTTCAGGTGGAAGAGGAGAGAGAACTAAGACTTAAAAAAAATGAAAAAGTTCTTTGAGAAATATCCGACACGATTAGGAAATACAATGTAAGGATTATAGGTATGCCAGAGGAAGAAAAGGGAAAAAGGAGCAGAGAGCTTCTTCAAAGAAATAATAGCTGAGAACCTCCCAAACCTGGGGAAGGAACTGGACTTACTAGTATATGAAGCCAATAGAACTCCTAATTACATCAATGCAAAAAGACCTTCTCCAAGGCATATAATAGTAAAAGACAAACACAGGCTCAGAGTGAAAGGATGGAAGACAATACTCCAAGCAAATGGCAAGCAAAAGAAAGCCAGTGTTGTCATATTTATATCAGACAAAGCAGACTTCAAGATAAAAAAGGCAATGAGAGACAAAGAGGGACAGTATATAATGATAAAACAGACATTCCACCAAGAGGACATAACACTTATGAACATATATGCACCTAACACAGAAGCACCAAAGTTTATAAAGCAACTATTAACAGACCTAAAGGGAGAAATTAACAGCAACAATAATATTAGGGGACCTCAACACCCCACTTACATCAACGGATAGATCATCCAGACAAAAAAATCAACAAGGAAATAGTGTACTTAAAATGAAAAACTAGACCATATAGACTTAATAGATATATATAGAACATTTATCCAAAAACAGCAAAATACATGTCCTTCTCAAGTACGCATGGAATGTTCTCGAAGATAGATCACATGTAGGGAAACAAGGCAGCCCCAATAAATTTAAGAAGATTGAATTCATATTAAGCATCTTTTCTGACCACAGTGCTATGAAACTAGAAATCAACTATAAGAAAAAAGCTGAGAAAGTCACAAATATGTGGAGACTAAACAACATGCTACTGAACAACCATTGGATCAATGAAGGAATCAAAGGAGAAATAAAAAAATACCTGGAGACAAATGAAAATGAAAATACCTCATATCAACTCTTACAGGATGCAGCAAAAGCAGTTCTAAGAGGGAAATTCATAGCAATATAGGCCCACCTCAACAAATAAGAAAAATCTCAAATAAGTAACCTTAAACTACACTTAACAGAACTAGAAAAAGAAGAACAAACAAAGCCCAAAGTCAGCAGAAGGAGGGAAATAATAAAAATTAGAGCAGAAATAAATAAAACAGACCAAAAAAAAAAAACAACAGTAGAAAGGATCAAGGAAACTAAGAGCTGGTTCTTCGAGAAGATAAAGAAAATTGACAAACCTTTAGCCAGAATCACTAAGAAAAAAAGAAAGAAAGCTCAAATAAATGAAATTAGAAGTGAAAGAGGAGAAATTACAACAGATATCACAAAAATACAAAGCATTATAAGACAAAACTATGAAAAACTATATGCCAACAAGTTGGATAACCTAGAAGAAATGGATAAATTCTTAGACTCATACAACCTCCCAAAACTGAATCAAGAAGAAATAGACCAGCCCTAGTGGCCTAGTGGGTAAGTTTGGCACGCTCCACTTTGGGACCCAGGTTCGGATCCTGGGCGTGGACCTACACCACTCATCTCTCAGTGGCCATGCTGTGGCAGCAGCCCACATAAAAAATAGAGGAAGATTGGCAACAGATGCTAGCTCAGGGCGAATCTTCCTCAGCAAAAAAAAAGAAGAAGAAGAAATAGAGCATCTGAATAGACCAATCACGAGTAAAGAGATTGAAACAGTAATCAAAAACCTCCCAAAAACCAAAAGTCCAGGACCAGATGGCTTCTCTGGAGAATTCTACCAAACATTAGAAGAAGATTTAATACCTATCCTTCTCAAACTATTCCAAAAAATTGAAGAAGACAGAATGCTTCCAACTCATTCTATGAGGCCAACATCACCCTGATGCCAAAACCAGACAAGGACAACACAAAGAAGGAAAATTACAGGCCAATATTACTGATGAGAATACAGCAAAACATTAAAAGGATCATACACTATGATCAAATGGGATTTATACCAGGGGTGCACAGATAGTTCAACATCCACAAATCAATCACTGTGATATACCACATTAACAAAATGAGGAATAAAAACCACATGATCATCTCAATAGATACAGAGAGAGCATCTGACAAGATCCAACATCCATTTATGACAAAAACTCTCAATAAAATGGGGATAGAAGGAAAGTACCTCAACATAATAAAGGCCATATATGACAAACCCACAGCCAACAGCATACTCAACTGTGAAAAACTGAAAGCCATCCCTCTGAGAACAGGAACAAGATAAGGATGCCCACTCCCACGACTCCTATTCAACATTGTACTGGAGGTTTTGGCCAGAGCAATTAGGCAAGAAAAAGAAATAAAAGATATCCAAGTTGGAAAGGAAGAAGTAAAACTCTTGCTGTTTGCAGACAACATGATCCTACCTATAGAAAAATGACATAATCCTATATGTAGAAAAGCCTAAAGAATCCACCAGAAAACTATTAGAAATAATCAACTACAGCAAAGTTGCAGGGTACAAAATCAACTTACAAAAATCAGTTACATTTCTATACACTAATTATGAACTAGCAGAAAAAGAAGTCAAAAATACAATCCCATTTACAATTGCAGAAAAAAGAATAAAATATCTAGGAATGAATTTAACCAAGGAAGTCAAAGACCTATACACTGAAAACTATAAGACATAATTGAAAGAAATGGGATAGGACATAAAGAAATGGAAAGCTATTCCACGCTCATGGATTGGAAGAATAAACGTAGTTAAAATGTCCACATTACCTAAAGCAATCTACAGATTCAATGCAATCCCAGTCAGAATCCCAATGACTTTCTTCATGGAAATAGAGCAAAGAATCCTAAAATTTATATAGAACGACAAAAAACCCCAAACAGCCAAAGCAATCCTGAGAAAAATGAACAAAGCTGGAAGCATCACAATCCCTGACCTCAAAATGTACTACAAAGCTATAGTAATCAAAAGAGCATGGTACTGGCACAAAAATAGACACACAAATCAATGGAACAGAATTGAAAGCCCAGAATTAAAACCACACATCTATGAACAGCTAATCTTTGACAGAGGAGCCAAAAACATACAATGGAGAAAGGAAAGTCTCTTCAATAAATGGTATTGGGAAAACTGGACAGCCACATGCAAAAGAGTGAAAGTAGACCATTATCTTACACCATACACAAAAATTAACTCAAAATCGATTAAAGACTTGAATGTAAGACTGGACACCATAAAACTCCTAGAAGAAAATATAGGCAGTACACTCTTTGACATCAGACTTAGGAGTATCTTTTCGAATACTTTGTGTACTCAGGCATGGGAAACAAAAGAAAAAATAAACAAATGGGACTACATCAGCTTCTGCAAGGCAAAGGAAACCCTGAACAAAACGAAAAGACAGCCTATTTACTGGGAGAAAATATTTGCAAATCATATATCTGACAAGGGGTTAATTTCCAAAATATATAAAGAACTCATACAACTCATCAACAACAATAAAAACAATCCAATCAAAAAATAGGCAGAGGATATGAACAGAGATTTTTCCAAAGAAGATATACAGATGGCCAACAGGCACATGAAAAGACGTTCAACATCACTAAATATCAGGGAACTGCAAATCAAAATTACAATGAGACATCACCTTACACATTTCAGAATGTCTATAATTACCAAGACAAAAAATAACAGGGGCTGGCCTGGTGGTGTAGTGGTTAAGTTCGCACGTGCCACTTTGGCAGCCCAGGGTTCGAAGGTTCGGATCCCAGGCACAGACCTATACACTGCTCATCAAGCCATGCTATGGTGGCGTCACACATACAAAATAGAGGAAGATTGGCACAGATGTTATCTCAACGACAATCTTCCTCACCAAAAAAAATTGTTGGAGAGGATGTGAAGAAAAAAGGAACCCTCATACACTGTTGGTGGGAATGCAAATGGGTGCAGCCATTATGGAAAACAGTATGGAGATTTCTCAAAAAATTAAAAATAGAAATACCATATGATCCAGCTATCCCACTACTGGGTATTTATCCAAAGAACTTGAAATCAA